TCCAAAGTAAAAAGCGGTTTTGCATTAACTCTGGATGTATATTTGTATACTTATCTTAAGTTGTGTTAGTCGTAGTTTGGCTGTTATTTGCATAGCAAAACAAAAATTAGAGAGAATTTTGCGAAATTCAGTCAAGATTTAGAGATCCCTGACGTACTGGGTAGATCTATAACAAGATATTGAAGTTGCTGAGGATCATTTGAAATAGATATGCATATTTGCAACTTAATTACAAATCGAATGCAACAACTGCCTGATGATGAACTGACACAATATTGATCAAATCAATGCTAGTTCTTACCTCGCTTCCTCATTCTAGAAAATGGCGATATAAAATGGCGGAAATGACATAGTACATCAAAAGTGTACTACGGCATATTTTGTCACTGTCACGTGACTGTACCTTGTCGATGGTTAGGCGTGGTGTGTACGGTTCTGGGTTTGATTTACACACGGGAAATTGAATTAGCTTGTTACACGACAACTCCACCTGGGCAGCTCCAGCTCCATGCCGATGAATCGTTGGATAGATAATGCCAATAGAGACAGGATATTGTTTAAATAAATTTATTATATCATACTATAGTGAAACATCACTATCACAGCCCTTTTTGTCACGTCTCATCTACCCTCCCCTCCATAAGTTTAGCAACATGTGTCTCCATTTCAGAGCAAGTTTGAAGCCTGTAAATGTTTGAACCTTTATTTTGTGCCTTTGTGACAATAATTAGGACATATATGTCAAAGATTCAACGAATCTGTTAAATTTCCCAAAATAACATGGAATCCATGAAGGACCATCCATTTGCCAAACTTATTGAAGGGAGTGGCACTGGACATTCACACTGTCAGAAGCATATTACATATTGTATACATGTTTGATACTACCACGCGGTACTAACTTTGACCGTTAATTTGAATTTTTGACCTACCAGATGCTTGAAAATCAAGGATTGCGAGTCTCATACTGCACCGTTTTTCTTCAAACTTATACCATTAAAAGCAAAACAAAATTGCCTTTCTGTCGGTGCATTACTTTATTGTAAAGAGTCCCTCGTTCTAGCAGCGTTTTCGTCCCCAGGTGTAAGAAGGCCTTCTTACAGCTGGGGACCAAAATGCCGCTGGAAGTAGGGACTCTGTTTAAGAGAATAATGTACCAACAGAAAGGAATTTTCGTTATGCTTTGAATGGAATAAGTTTGAAGAAAAAACGGTGCAGTATGAGACTCTGAATTATTGATTTTCAAACATCCGGTAGGTCAAAAATTCAAATTAACGGTCGAAGTTAGTACCGCGTGACTACATCATCTTGAACATTGTGCATATATAGGGATGTAGCCAGGAACTAATATAGGTGAGGCATACTTAACAGGTGAGGCAAATCCAAATAGGCGAGGCTTTATATAGGTCAGGAAAATGTAAATAGAAGAGACAAATTTAAAAAGGTAGGCACATTTATATAGGTGATGAAAATCTTAATGTGTGAAGCAAAATTTGACTTTAAATTGATATGATATTATCATAAGACTTTTTAAAGTTTAAATTGAAACAAATATCCATGTACTCTTAATCAGTTTATATTTCCCAATAATACTTGTGATGAGGCAATTGCCTCAAATGCCTCATGACTGGCTACGCCTTTGGTATATAATGCTCAATATAATACTACATTTTTAATTCCCTATAACAGTGTCAAATAAATTAAACTAGCCTTAGGCCTACACAATAACATGTAGAATTTGACATTCAGCCACAGAATTGGTCATTCATTTTTAGGAATAATGAGTAGTCTAAGTTAGAGTAAAATTCACCAGAGTAATGAGCAAAGTGTTAATGCTAAATCCATTTTATACAGACTGGTGAATCATACAAGTAGATAATTACTGTAAATTACATTGAATTTTGCGGCATCCTGAACTTGCAATGCTACTCTCAAGTGTGAATACGCAAATTCAAGATGTTTGTGAATTTAATGTGTTTTACAGTTAACAATTTCCAATTCATTATTGCAATTAAACTTTTTGGCTTTCTTCAAAAATTGAAAAATGCTTAAAATGAATGTGTAGTTCAATTCGTTATTGATCTGACAAAATAATGCCTGACATCAAATTTGACATCACATTATTGACACCTGGGCCAGGGTACAAAACCTCCACGTTAAAGGCCCTGTGCAGTTAAATACTTTTTTATGATTCAATACTATGTTTGTGACTAGTTCTTAAAAGGCTGAATTTTGAAAACAAGTTGTTACATATTTGTTTCAAAAATATTTGAATTTATTCCAATTTGTATGAGCTATTTTGTTTGAATTATTTACGGGCCTTTAAATGTATTAAATGAAGGCTTCCTCTCTCACCACATATTTTAACTACATGTATATGAATATAATCTGTGCATTGGTCCACCCAGTATTAAGACAACTGGGTGATCAATAAAAATAGCATGCCACCTTGTCAAAAACCTGTTTGCTCTCTGCTTTGAGGGTGAAACATTGGGATATTTTGACCGAAATTTAGGTTTTAACAGTTTGTTACATGTTCAGAAAAAACGTGAGGGGGCCATCTATTTGACTAAAATACTTGTTTAATGTACATAATCAACCAAATCTATCCTTTAATAAAAATAGAATAAAGCTAACCTAATATTTAGTTTAATATAATTAAAGGCAAAATCAGATCTAGTGAGTAACCTTTACAAAATGTCTCAATCTTAGAATATTTTGGATTCATCACATTATTTGACATAATGTTTTTTCCATAAATACCAAAAGTTCAATTACACAAAATGTATTAATTTTTTGATAAATGTGGATATCCACTTTATTATTCTGCAAATGAACACATTTTTGGGCTTGACATCTTTAATCATTTCAACATTTGATACATCTTTGAAATGGTGTAAAGAATACATTGGTAGGTCAATTGTACTTGTTGCTTGCAACTTTAATTTTGCGAAACTACATATCTCTAATTCTGCCTTCAATTTACAATGTGATATATGGGCTTGACTTAACCATATCTGGGCTTGACTTAATTATATAGCAGGGAAACCCATATTTTACCAAAACATTGATTCTTTTTCATAACTTTAGCATTTTTTGCTCAGTTCATGCTCTTATTATAAAAAATTAATGATTCAAAAATATATTTATTACTTTGAGTAATAATCATTATTTTTCATGTGATATTTATGGGGTAGAATTTCTCCATACAAATGTAACACTCAGTACTGTTTCAATCCATAGAGCACCACGTATATGTCATTTCTGTTTTCATTATAACAAGAACAATTCTAAACATGATATTTACTTTCGGTAATAATCATTATCTGCCAAGTAATATTCAGGGATAGACTTTATCACTCTACTATACCTTGCATTTGGTGTTCATAAGCAACCCATTTGGCTTATTAGTAATGATTATGTTATTTGTTTTTATGTGTATGTTCCTTATGAATGGTTTATTGGATGACTGTTAGGTAGTAATAAGGTACTTTCAAAAATATATTAAACAATACAATTAGACAAACAGAGTATCTTATGTATTTCTAGAGGTTAGGTATAGTAGAGTGTCTATCAAACCTTAATTCAAAACATATAACATTTGAGACAAATAATTATAATTTGTGATGATATTCATAGGCTAGGATTTGGACTCATTTACTTTTTAAAAAATACAAATAAAATACACAATATTGTTCCAATTCAGAGCACCAAAAAAATTCATTTCATGCTTTCATTATAATTCAATATTACATTGGAGTAAATAGTCATTATTTGTTATGTGATATTTATGGGTTATGACCTAGACTCATTTACATTTTTCTTTTAAACTTTACAAATTATGAATTCAATGCTCAATACTGTTTCAATCCACAGAGCACCATGCAAATATTATTTCATGCTTTTTTGTTACTACAGTAGTGGTATGAATTATAGTCATGGAGTTAGATGTCGTTGATTTTTACACTGTCTAGTGTCTATGTGTCTCGTTTAAAGGCCCTGTGTAAATTTTACACCAAAGTCTTTATTAGTCTTCACTTGATTCCAAGTTGTACCTTCTGACAACTAAAAATCGAAGCCCCGAGTGAAATTATTTAGAGTAGTATTTTAATCGTATTTTACACTCTCATTTTTTTGCTGCTTTTGTTTTCAATTTGATTTGTGGAATCGTTTAGGTAATATTTAGGTTGGGAGCAAAATATCAATGTTATTTTCTCTCACAAAATTAATTTAATAATTTAACAAAGGTTCAAACCCCACCAAACCCATTCATTAAATAATAAATAATATTAAACACTGAAATTCTACAATAATTGTACAATATGCAGTATGTTTACAGCAACAAAATCATGAAATTGTGACTAATGAAATGAGTTTTGTTAATATTAAACCTAACAGTCCCAGGGTTCATGGCTTGGGTTGAAAACAGGATTGTGACAATTTAACATAATGACATTCAGGCGATTGCCCAATAGGCAATAAGTATGTTTAAGTTGCCCAATAGTGAGAAGAGATCGCCATTTGGCATTCTGCAGTTATGAGTTTTAAACCTACACAGTCTCTGAGCAGATGGATACATTCAATCAATCTCCTCCAATCCATTTTATGAGTTTAACTGTCACTGCTGGTTTTAGTACCAAATGGTCGTTCCCTCAGATGGATACATTCAATCAATCTCCTCCAATCCATTTTATGAGTTTAACTGTCACTGCTGGTTTTAGTACCAAATGGTCGTTCCCTCAGATGGATACATTCAATCAATCTCCTCCAATCCATTTTATGAGTTTAACTGTCACTGCTGGTTTTAGTATGTATCCATAATGGATACATTCAATCACTCTACTCCAATCCATTTTATGAGTTTAACTGTCACTGCTGGTTTTAGTATGTATCCATAATGGATACATTCAATCACTCTACTCCAATCCATTTTATGAGTTTAACTGTCACTGCTGGTTTTAGTATCAAATGGTTGTTTCCTCAATATTACAGGGTTTAATGTATTTATAAATAATCTGACATGTTGTCTGTCAGTATTATCGTTAAGATGAAACTTTTCCCATATTATGTTAAATAAAATATAATGATTAATTAAAAATATATATTTTCCATTCCAGATCTTTTGTAACACAAATCAATAAGGCCTATTAATGTGTTTTCAGTTTTGTCACATTTTTCAATATTTTCTCGATTGGTATTTTTTGAGTGGCCGATTGAACTGTATTGCTTGTGTTACGGATTATTCTAGCGGCATGGTCAGCTATTGAGCTTAATGTTGTGGTGTCGTAATTTTCGAGATCAGAGTCTCCATTTGGGGTGAAAAGTCTTTGTATAGCATCTTGTAGTCCTATTATGGTCCTGTAAAGAAAAAAACGTGGAGTTTAAGAAATATGGTGGTTAAGGAAAGAGAGTGGCCGTTATGAGAATTTTGTGCAAAAAACATGGTGATACAGGGTTGCCATGGTAATAAAAAGTAATAATAACAATGTCTGACAGCTAGTTACAGGATAATATACCTGAAGATCACCCATATTAGGGTTCTTTTTAAATGTAATGCTAGGCATATGATTATGTAAAACTTGAATAAAAATGTGATACACAAGATTATCTAATGACACAATAAAAACATCAAAAAGAGTGATTAAATTAGAAAAAGTCATTCATGGTATTTAACAGACAAAAAATTATTTAGAGTATAAAGATAATACAATAACAAGGCATATAAACATATAAAATGTCACTACCTGCCATTTGTTACAGATGCTAACAGGCGAATGATGACTGTGAGGCACTGACCACCTAACACCCTCCATAAAGTTGGAGACTATAACAATATGTCACCACTTTTGGTTGTGACATAATGGCTATAATAAAATGTAAACTCACCCAACAATTCCTATGACTATAATACATACATCTAGTGTCCAACTCCACTTGGTCAATGCCCTGCAATACAAATGTAGAAAGTAAATAGAAACTGTGGCACTGATGGAGCCACTTGGTGAAATAAGGCATAAAGTGGTACACAATTATAAATATGTTTTACATGTAAGTGATGGCCAACATATAATGGCAATATGGCGGTTGGTGGCCGAAAATGTAGTGGATTTACCTCAATAAAGTTTATACTATAAAAAAAGATAAATATCACACTTTTCATCGAAATATTCAAAATGGCCACTTAAAGCAACATTGTATTTGATTAAGATATCATAGATTTTAAAGGACGATTCTCAGTTTGGAGAACGAAGTTCATCAATCTAAATTAGCATTATCCCTACTTCGGACAAATTTGATTTTTTTACATAATATAGATTTGAATGTCTTCTTTTGAATAGTCATAATTTAATTTGGATAATATTTCTAGATTTTTAGCAAAAATATTAGCGCAGTACACTGATGAACTTCTTTCCCCAAATTGAGACTTGTATTTGATTGAATCGGTCTAATTGAGCGTTATCCCTGCTTCAGACCAATTTGTTATTTTTACATCTTGTAGATTTAAATGTCCTCTTTTGAATATTCATAGTTTAATTTGGGTAATTTTCCTAAATTTTTTATGAAAAAATTATTAGCCCAGGAGACTGTTCTCCAAACCGAGAATCGTCCTTTGACAATAAATTGATATTAAGCACAAGTTATGGGTGTTAAATTCAGAAATAACTGTTGTACAACGTGGTCACGCTCTTGTACAAAACCGGTCCATTATCAGTAGCTGCATATAGCAAGTGTGTCTTAAGAAAACTCACCCTTGGAATATTTTTAAATGGAAGATCCCTGGTAATATGAAGGCCAGCAGGGTACAGCAACCAGCCCCGACTAAAGCCATCAAGTTGGCGAAATTAGGAACAAGAAGAACGATTATCCCTGTCAATGACACGATACTGAACCTTAGGATATTCTACAAAAACAAAAACATGTTTTTATGGTATTAAAAAATGCTACAGACATTTAATGTTGAAGCTGAATTAATGAGAGCATTTAATGTTGGCAATTTACCCTGACTCAATGTATTCATTTTGCATCTCAATGCAACAAAGTTATGTTATGGTATTAGTACATGTACACTTATATGAGGTACACTTATACACTAGCACACTTATTTGAGGTGCGTAGCTGCAAGCAACTAGTGATTCTCTCATGTTGGAATTAAAATTGTCAATAATTTTGCTTGTTTTTAAATTATTTTGCCTATTGTTTTTAATTATTTTGCCTATTGTTTTTAATTAGTTTGCCTATTGTTTTTTATAATTTTGCCTGTTATTTTTAATAATTCTACCTGTTATTTTTTAAATTTTCCCTGTTGTCTGAAATTCTTAAAATAGTCCCTGAAAACATTCAGGTGTAGATAAGTTAGATAATATACTTTACAATTGGCATATCAATTTCAGATAATTCTTTATCCCATGTACAGATGTAAACCCAGCTATTTCCTTAGAATTACTGACAACAGGCAAAGTTATAGGAAATTATAAACTGAAAAATGAACCGAAAACGGTTGCAAAATTCCTTAAAACATCAGAAGATTTAATGGCTTGTAAAATATCAATTTCCCACAATGTACAAAACTATATCTAATACTCACCCCTTTCCACAAATTTTCTTTTGGATTTGATATAATCTTACTCTCCAGTATGTTAATGACTGGGAACATCATTACTGAAAACAGAATGTTAAGCATCAGTAAAAACATGCAATTTGCATCAGGGGTAGGGTGGAATAAAGAGGTAATGATAGCTTAATAGGGTAAATTCAAGGACAGGGAGGCAATGGACTCAACACAGAATGATTAGGAATTATGGACGAATAAAATTGCCGCCAATGTCTCGCAGCGTTGGCAATTATTTAGTTGTTTATAGGGTGTCTCAAAAAAATGTACCCAAAAATTTATCAACACCATAGACAAACCAATCAATATTTTCAGACATTTTTTGCATGGTCTTGTAGATAAAAGATGAAACTTTTTTCCCCTATATACAGTTTTTAATTCATTTTTGCCTTTTTGATACTTTAACCTGTTACCTTTTACACCACATATTCAATGTAACCTCATATTTCGATGACAGTCTGCATCCTTACTACTACATTGTTCATCACAGTTGATATTTTTGGTGGAATGTTTTGATTTCTGCTTGTCTTAAGTTGTTCTAGGTCTCTTAGCTTGGTTTTAGCATAAAAATAGTCCTTCAAATAGCCTCAGAGAAAAAAAAGTATGGGCCGTCAAATATGGTGAACAGGGATAATTATTATCAAATGTGATGAACAATGTAGCAGTAAGGATCCAAGCTGTCATCGAAATATGAGGTTTCATCGATTATGTGCTGTAAAAGGTAAAGGGTTAAAGCATCAAAAAGACAAGACTGAAATAAAAATGGTGTATTTGGGAGAAAACTTTCATGTTTTGGCTACATGACCATGCAAAAAATGTCTGAAAATATTGATTGGTTTATCTGTGCTCTTTATATACTATTGGGTACATCTTTTGAGACACCCTGTAAATGTATTACTGGAGTAAATTATTGTCTATGATTATTAAAAAAAGGAATAATAAGCTAACAAGCTGCATTGGAAATAATGTTATAAAATTTAATTCATAATGTACTATGGTTTATAAAGTGAACAGGGTCATAATTTGAAGCATGGAATAGACTGATTAAAAGTAATATCAGCAGGGAAGTAGACATGACTGGAACATTTAATTGTATAACAAGGTCTATTAATATTACAAAATGTAACCATCTGGTTGCAATCACAAATGTGTAACGATAGTTACAGAATCCAAACACTGACACAAACCAAAGCAAATCAAGGAGGATTGGCAGCCATTATTCAAACTCCATCTTCCGTTGCCTGGCATTAAACAATTTAGTAATAGTATTTCTATAAGGTTCATCTTTGACCAAGGATCTTGTTGAAAGTTGGACATTAGGTGTATTATAGTAAACTCTAATGGCAGTGCTAGTCTTTAATGTATGGATTATATTATTACAAAATTGGTCAATGCCATGCAATTATTTTGAATAATAGCTGCCAATCCTCCTTAGGTGCAAATCCAGTCCAATGGTCCAGACTGCAAAGAATTAACAATAACATGAAATGAACCAAGTTAGTTCTTACCTGGGTATGTGAAGAAGAGAGCGAGACAAAGGCATGACTTCACCATCAAGGCAAAGTCCAGTGATTCTCCTTTTGGAAGATTTAACGTGATAATTGCATCAGTTTCTGGACCAAACGACTAAAATATCAAAAGAACTAATTTACGTAAAATAATTTATATGATCTACATGTATATAACATTTAGAAAAAAAAAATTACTGATGTTAACTAATTTACAAGAAATTTAATGACTAAAAAATGTATTTCGTGTTTGAATACGAAAATGAAAAAAAATTCACATGTGAGATCGACAATGTACTTTTTCATTTACTAGGCCTATTCCTATGATGAACTCACCAGATAGCCTGACACACCAAATGATATATACAGAGCAGTTACAATAACTAATGTTATTTTGAATAATCTGTAAATATAAAATATATAATATGAGGTTATATAATGGTTCTTTCTGTATATCGTGTTTATACTCGAGTGAGTATATGATATATTCACAAGTGAGCGTAGCGAACGAGTGAATATATTATATTTTCACGAGAGTATAAAATGCACGATATACAGAATGAACCATTGATTCGAACACAATCATAACAATTAAAAACCATAAAAATATCCCATAGCCAACTACTGATGTTGATCTCGAACCATTTATGACGTGGCTTGATTCTAGCAAATCATGCCGGAACCATTTATGACGTCACTTGATTCTAGGAAATCATGAAAATTTTCATGATTTTTTTATTCATTAGTTCCCAGAATGCACTTCTACAGTGGTATACGCTAGAGTGAACGGAGGAGTTGTATACGATGACGATATACCACTCTCCACTGTATATCGTTGTTATAGACCCATGTTATACAACTGTAAATGGACTTAGAGTGGTATAAAATACAGTATACATACATATGCACAATATACAAGTAATGCCAATATTATACAATATTCACAAATCTAAGTTTGAGTTTTATAGTACTGGGGTATGTATTGGAATGAATGTGTAATGAATGAAAAAATTGTCACACGTTACACCATTTACATTTATTTCTCTACAATTTGAAACCAATATCTATATTTCTATAATTTCTTTAATTATAATTTCTATAATTTACTGTGTTAACATGCCTGTTTATTTTATTCGTTGCTATTTTCCATTCTATTTTGAATTTCATAACTTGATCTCATTGTGCCATTTTTCTTTGGAAGACAATAATAAAGTGAGAATTTTATGACAAACGAAAAATTCTTTCTTTTTTTAAAACTTACGGTCGGAATCTGTGTCGAACTTCTTTAGCAACGGAAGACTCTAGAGACAATATCATACCTGCGCCCTAGTGAGGAAACAGAGAACCATCTTAGTAAATGTTTATGCGTCAATGTTTATGATGCTTTCATTTCATACTCATTTTATATGATCATAAGTAAACATAAACAAGGCATTAACATGACAAAAAAGTCACCACCTAGTTGCTCACAATATTATTAGTTCAATCTTAAGTCAGATTTGAATTTCTGAGAACTTGTAGATGATTTTGAAAATTGGACAATTTGAAGAAAGATGAAAGAATACCTTTTTTTGACCCTGAGAAGGTCATTGAAGGTGAAATCTCAAATCTAAAGACAGATTTGAATGTCTGAGAACTTACGGATGATTTTGAAAAAATGGTCAATTTGAAGCAAGATGAAAAAGTACCTTTTTGACCTTTTTTGAGAAGGTCAATGAAGGTCGAATCTCAAATCTATAGTCAGATTTGAACTTCTGATAACTTGTAGATAATTTTGAAAAAACATTTTTGTTACAGACACCAACCGCCGATGGCCGATCACCAACCACCAATCGCCAACAGCCAGTTGCCAACCACCATCACAAAAAAAAACGGAGACCATAATAATATGTCACAATTTTTTGGTGGTGGCATAAAAATGCTAACATTAGTGGCATTAGTGATGTCTCTTTGCTTGATAAGCATTTGTTTTGTACCAAGATGATGAAGTGTGGTGTAAACCACTTTTAGTATTATGATAATGAGAATTTAATGAGAAATAAATTAGGTGATTACCTCATAACAATAAATGGCTATTGCAAGGAAGAATGGGAAGCTATTATAAATGAAATTTTAATAAGAAATAAATTAGGTGATTACCTCATAACAATAAATGGCTATTGCAAGGAAGAATGGGAAGCTATTATTAATAAGATTTTAATGAGAAATTAATTACGTGATTACCTCATAACAATAAATGGCTATTGCAAGGAAGAATGGGAAGCCCTTGAGTGAGATCTCTTTCCTGTGTATACTAAAAAAGAAAAAACACAACAATCTTGAAATAATTCACACCATTTACAGCTACATATATGAATAAGTTTTGCTTCAAGACTGTGGACCCCTCCTATTTAGTATATCTAATTTACCAACACATGTGGGGTATGTAGTGTGAGGGGGGTATGTAGTGTGTGTGGGGTATATAGTGTGAGGGGGGTGTGTTGGGTGTGTGGGGAATATAGTGTGAAGGGGTATGTAGTGTGTGGGGGTATGTAGTGTGTGGGGGTATGTAGTGTGAGGGGTGTGTGTAGTGTGAGGGGGTATGTAGTGTGAGGGGTGTGTGTACTGTGAGGGGGTATGTAGTGTGTGGGGGTATGTAGTGTGTGGGGGTATGTAGTGTGAGGGGTGTGTGTAGTGTGAGGGGGTATGTAGTGTGAGGGGGGTATGTAGTGTGAGGGGGTGTGTAGTGTGAGGGGGTATGTAGTGTGAGGGGGTATGTAGTGTGAGGGGGGTATGTAGTGTGAGGGGGGGTATGTAGCGTGAGGGGGTATGTAGTGTGAGGGGGTATGTTAGTGTGAGGGGGTATGTAGTGTGAGGGGGATGTGTAGTGTGAGGGGGGGTGTGGGGGGGTGTAGTGTGAGGGGGTATGTAGTGTGAGGGGGTATGTAGTGTGAGGGGGTGTGTAGTGTGAGGGGGTATGTAGTGTGAGGGGGGGTCACAGGGGCTTGTAGCTAGACTAGTAGTACAAATTAATATGTCACCACCTGGTATGTTACTGTAAATGGTTACAGAAGTGTAATGACTTGTTACAGATCCTTACTGAATGATGACTGTAAACTGCAAATCATACATAAGGTCACCATCTTTATATGTCAGAATTACTTTTATTGGCGGTGACAATCTAATCAATGTTGATAGTTAATTTTTCTTTCAAATAACAACAACTTAGTTAATTTTTCTTTCAAATAATGACAACTTTTGGAATTTATTGTTCTTTTCATGAGAATAATTCTAATATATTTTTTTATCAAAGCAAATGATGTGTATGCCCAACCCAATTAAGCAAAATAAACTGAACTAAAATGAAATTAAAAAGTTCTTATTATTCAGCTTATTCTTTACTCATATAATAATATGGACACATTACAAGCTAACTCCAACAGAGGAAAGGAAAGGGGATGGTGTTTAGATGCCAACAGTTCATTTCATTAGGGGAGGAGGGGAGGGGAAGGAAAGGCCTGGGGTAAATGAGAATTTCACTAATGTATGATTTTTCACTTTTTAAATGCTTGTTATAGGGGAGGGGAAAACAATAAAATTAATTAGTTTCCATATCAGTTGATATCTAGATACCATTGCTAAAGAAAAGAATTAGTAACTTATAAAAATCTTAAATAATATTAAATATGAGCCTAGGGGATAACATTTCTGGCCTAGACTGATGTAAGTCAAACCCCCGATTGTTCAACAAATCAGTACCAGGGCTACCACTTCTACCACCACCCAGTTGCAGTCTGTCTATACTACGGTTTATAGCATACAGTGATTATGACTGTGTTATGTAAATATGGAGTACTTCATTTGTTTATAATGACATTTATTTCAATATATTTTATGATTTAAATCTCATTAATTGCTTTAAAGGTCCTGTGTAAAGTTTTTGCAGGACTATAAAATAAGCCAAAATGATTTATACTTTATATGGGACCTTTAGGGCAATATAAAATATAATGAAATAAACATGTCATTATAAAAAAATATGGGGGATTGATACAAATGTACAAGTAGCTACTTAAATAAACTTCAGAATTACAAGGGGGTAAGGGGGGTTCTGTAGTTTGGTTCAAAGATTTGGTGCACTACTACATGACTACTAAAAAAAACTTACTTGCTGCTGTAAAAAAAATTAAAATAAGCGTGAAAATATTAAACATTAAATGGCAAAAATATACATATAAAGTGTTTTTAAAAAAGTATACATGCAAAGCTTATCTGTTGCTATCGATATACATATTTGGGTTCACATCTTATGATTGGACATGCTCGAGTTAACCTCTTGACTACCCAGAGTGACAAAATAATCCATCACAACATTTTTCACTAAAATTGCTTTCATTTGAACAATTTACATTGAATTTACAAAAAATTGTTTTAAAATATCTAGAAATGATCCCTGCCATCTAATTTTACTAACATGAGCATCTCCTATTATTTTTAGTAAAATGTCAAATGCTGACAAAAATGAAAAATTCTCTGGTTTCAACAGATTTTAAAACCTGGGAATCAAGAGGTTAAGAAGCATTCAACAGCCAGGCCCAAGAGGGTTAATAAAAATAACATTCATTGACTCGGCATATTTCGGGTTAACTTTCAATGACTTGGTATGATAGGGTTAATTTTCACTCATTTGGCTCGTAAGTATAGATATAGCCAGGTATGAGGCAGATGAGGCAATTGAAATATTTTAATAATAAAAAATTTTCAATTGAAACTTAAGTTTTCAATTGAAAATTAAGTACTGTAATAATGATAGCATTATTTCGCTTTTGAACTCAAACTTGCCTTCGCAAAAAAACAAATAAAATTGCCTCGCCACAGTTTTAGATCCTGGCTACACCCCTGGTTACGGTGAATTTTCAAGGACTTGGTATGTTAGGGTTAACATTAAATGACTGGGAATGCAACAGTTAACAAACATTCTACAACTAGGCATGATAGGGTTAACTTTCAATAACTTGGCATGTGGCATGTTAGGGTTAATATTCTATGACTATGCATGCTATATTTATTTAATTAACAAACATTCTATAACTGGGTATGATAGGGTTAACATTCTTATGGCTGATCATGCAAGAGTTAACATTAAATGACTAGGCATGCAAGAGTTAACACTCAGTTGAATCTTTAAAGATATGGTACAACATGTTGAAAATGAGATATTACACAAAGAGAAGAAAATATAAAGCATACATACTCTTTTAAAGCATGGAAATGTTCGAAGTCAAACCAGAAAACAACACCAAATGCCAGCAGATTACTGCACTGTGCAAATAAACTGAAAAAGAAAGAAAATTGTATTAAGGGTATAGGTTTTATTTCCATTGTAATAACAGGGTCTGACTCGAGGTACGAAGTGAACTAAGAGTTCGAAGGAACAAGAAAAGATAGCACGCCTTAGCCAGATTTTGCCAAGGAGGGGCTCAGTTTTTATTAAAATTTTCAGGGGAGCAAATCACTTGAAAAGTGCTCAAGATTGTGTCAAATTGCATGATTTTGGAAGAATTTTTGGCCAGGAGTTCACCTTTAAACCCCCTCCCTAGCTACTAGCCTGGGATAGGGTTATTTTGAAAATAAATAAAAAAAAAACACTGGAGAACTAACCTTGATATGGCAAGACTGTTCAGGTGTCGCAGAAGTGTAAGTATTGCTAGGGGAGGTAGCAGGATGAGTAACCACTGATATCTGAAACAAAGATAGGAGTTATATACGTATACTGGGAGGGATAAGATATGGGATATATCCCAAGATAATGTTGATCAAGTAAAGGAAAAGAGGGAAGATTATACATTACAATATGTAAGATTTACACTGTACTAAATGCCTATAAAGATGAGAATTATCCAAGATGCATTGCAGATACCAGATTTTAAAAACCTTCAATCTTCAATTCAGACATTGCTCTTCAATTTGCATATTTAGAGTACAGAATAGTATTGCTATGAAAAAATACTTACTTTTTAATAACTTCGAAGAAATCATGTAAGTTTTCAGATATAAATATAAGGTAAGCACAGCAAAATCCTGGAAAATGAAAAAAATACGTAAACTAGGGCATTAAAGGCACTGAACCCAACATTTGTGATCATTAAGATTAGCATGTAAATCATAAGGGTCATGTTGCTAACTAATGTGGATGCAGACGAGGAGAAACTGAAATCATTTACAAAAAGACTGAATTGCATATTAACCATTTGCCTTGCCAGAAATACAGTGTACTTGTTAAAATGATGAAGGGTCAATAACAGAAACTTTGGAAAGTTGAGAATTCCTAAATCAATTGCTGTAACCAGTGATGTAATGATACTATAGTAACAGAACTATGGACTGAAGAATTTCCGAAAAGGAGTATTTCAAACACACTTACCTTCTTGACTAATGACTATTTTGAAAGTTGAAAATACCCAAATCAATCACTGTAGCCATTGATATAGTGATACCTAGTAACAGAACAATGGATGGTAAGATTTCCGAGAAGGAGTACTGTATTTCAACCACACTTACCTACTTGACTTATGACTATTGCAAACTCTACTAAGAGTCTGCCAGTGTGCCCCATGGCATAATATCCTGAAAACAGAAACATTGTTTATAAATCAAAGGAGACTTTTTCAAATGAGAACAGTATATTCTAAGTACTTTGTCATTATAGTATTTTCAGATATTGTGATAAATTCTGATATTGTAAAGAAGAAATGATTTCTGGTATTTTGATGAACTGAGGTATTGTAATGATTCCTAATATTGAATTGATTTTTGATGATTTTTAATAATCATAACGATTCTATTGTGATGTATTCTTATATTATAACGATTTTTGATATTAAAATGATCTTTATTATTGTAATAATTTTGGATAGTGACATGATTTTTTAGAATTACCAAAATCGAATACTTTAACAACATTCTTTTATCTCCTTACCTACATCTCCATATGTAAGATCTTGCCCTGGAGCCTGTAAATAAAGTTGTTGGTTATTTTAATTTTCACAAAGTACCCCAACAATATAAGCCAACATGGTTTAATCGTTCCATAAATTCTTCAAGAAAAATATTCCTCTTCCATCAACATAAATTCAGCTTAATTAAATTCGGTGGCGAATGTTCTTTTGTTTAACGGCGCATAGTTTTTTTACCTCCGGTTTGGATGGTTCTTTTTTCTGTTTAACAACCCCATTCATTTCTTCCATCTCCATAAGGTCTGCTTTCTCTTCAGTTGTCCCTTCAGTGACTTTTAATATCAATTTAGTGGCGCCATCTTTCAGCCAAGATGAGCCTTTGTTTAAGGTTGTATCTTTGTTGATTAATCTGTCTTTACAGTCAATGATAAGCAGCATGGCTTTAACACTACAAATATATGAGACATTTTAGTAAATTCAGTTGAAAAGTAGCATAGTTTTATCAAGTAAAAAATAAGATGGGATGGGACTTTAACTGAACAAATAAATGAAATAGCATGAGATTGCATCCAGTTAAATGTAGATCTAACAAATCAGTCATCTGAATAAATAAGTCATCTAAATTAATAGATTTGCCATCTTGATAGATTGGTCCTTTCAATATATTATTCCTCTAAATAAATATATTAGTCATCTTACTCAATAGATAAGTCATCTAACTTAATAGATTAGTCATCTAATTATATAGATTAGTCATCCAAATAAATTAGTCATATTACCTTATCAATCCCACTGCCATCATGATCAGACTGCCTTCTAATATACCAGCCTGAAAAAAAAACAAAAAAAAACATATACCAGAGTTCTAGCTAGGTATGGGATAGGGGTGGGGGTTGTTGAATGACAATTTTTCAATAAAATCTGTAGAGAAACCTGTAATACAGGAAATAATCATTCATTGAATATTTGCGATTGTATTTATTTAGACAAAGCACTAACATGCAAAATGTAACCACCTGCCATTTGTTAAAAAATTTGATCACAAACACAGAACGCCAACCACTGAACATGTACCATCAAACACCATCCACAAAAAACGTTGGCAATTTTAAAAATATGTCATAACTTGTAGAGGTGACATAAAAGAGTGCATACATGAATGGACTGCAACTCATATGTATAAAAACATGTGGCTTGCGCTTGTAAATAAATGAGGAATAAAAAAACATTAGACTCCTTCACAGGTGATAACTTACTTGTATGAAAGATAACTTACTTGTATGAAAGATAACATACTTGTATGAAATGTAATAACTTCCATGTTTGAAGGATAACTAATTATTTTGAAGTATGATATTTAACTTGTTTAAAACAATTGTTAACTAACTTGTTTGAAAGTGATAAATAAATTTGAAGGGTAACTACCTTGATTGAAATATGAAAACTACTTTGCTTTGAATATGATGGCTTACTTGTTTGAAGGATAATCAACTTAAGTAGGTAATAATAAATTACTAGTTTGAATGATGATACATGTCTAACTAACTTATTTGAAAGTTAATTTGTTTGAAGGACAACTATGAAATATTACGAAGTACTTGTTTGAAATGTGATCTTATCTGAAAGATGCTATACTACTCTACTTATACTTAATAACTAACTTGTTTGAAATGTTATAAAGTACTTGTACTAACTTGTTTGAAATATGATAACTTACTTGTTTGAAAGCGTATGGCAAGCCAAGGGCCCCCGCTCCAATGAATGAAATAAATATATTCGATGTGATCCCAATAATGGTTCTAGCACCATAGTCTTTCTCAACTGAAGACTTCCCCATTTTATTTATTAAAATTCTGGATAACCTAAATCCAAGTGAATGCCTCTTTAAATCATCCCATAAAAATGTTGGAAGAATTCTCTTTAATACATATTTCTTTCTATTTCATTATAATCCATTCTAATTTATCAGCCTGAAGTAATGTATATGAAGGCATTTTATTTTCTGATCCTTAAATTCTTCACTTGTTTTTTTTTACTTGTTTTACATGTCCTCTATCTGACATTTAGAACTGTTCAATTAATACACAGTAACATTGGTAGACTAATTGGTGGCCTACCAGCATTCTGTGACAGCTGAAAGATTAAGATGAAAAGTATAGCTTCCTGTATGCATTTCAAATTATAATCTTACTATAATTAAACTATGAAGAGGGGACTTTATGATGGTATATAATTGATTATATTGTATATACAGGTGAACAAGTAGAGCATATTATAAAGAAAACTAATTAGCAAGGATTGTCCAGTTGAAAATTACGACATGTATCTCTTGGTTCAAGTCAATATATTTTTTGTGAGTCTCATCCAATCCTAAACAAGGCATTAACATGCAATTTGTCACCACCTCCACCTGCCATTTGTTTCAGCATGCATGCATATAACTAACCTGAGGGTAAGCTATCAAATGTATTGATGTCAATATTATCTAATACAATTTGAATCTTACTATTAGAATATGCCATTTGAAATGTTACACTATTTATAATGGGTCAATCATCTCATTCTCTGCTACCAGTCATCTCAATTATCCCATCAGTAAAGCCAATCAAATTACAGTGGTGAACATAAATAATTACTAACACTATGTCACATATGTCATAAATTCTTACCTCAGTGAATTGAGTGCCCTATTTTCCCCGTCCCGGAACATACAAATATAGTGGAATTTGTGTCCATAATGACAAATAGGAACTTAAAAAATATGAAGCGATATTCACATGTTAATGCCAACTCTTCAAATGTTGAGGTGATTTTGGAGCCTGATTACGCCGCAAGGAAGATTGGCTCCCAGAATGCAACATAACACATGACACAGAGCTGTCAAGTGTCCCGCGAATGGCGGGATTTTCCCGCGAATTTGATCAAAATTTGGCTAATTCGCGTGTCCCGCAATGTCCCGCAAAGGTCGGCTTTAATCTCCGCGAATTTTCAAAATTGTAACAATCTTCGAGGCTAAATAATTGTGACTATCTTGTGATATAAGCTAAGTTTTTTCGCTTTTGACGAGTAAAGTTTACCTAATATGAAAAGTGCTGCCAAACTCCCAGTGCATCAGATCGTCGAAGACTGCTTTTGAGAAGGATATACATAAAACTGTGATTTTGATCCAAATAACACCATAGTTGGCTTTTCAAGTACCTAGTATGCCGTTATTTGGTATTAAAATAAAGAGGAATGAGAGTGCATTTTCATTTTAATTACGAAAATTGGGATGTTTGTCACGAATAGTTCCAACGTTGGCCTTTTTACCAAGCGTGTCACAGCCTTCATCTCAGAATTGAGCAAATGTTAGCAAACGTGAGTTCCAATAAATGAACAATGATATCTCGAAAAGAAACCTGACTCTCTATAATTTGATGTAGATTAATCGAACCACTATATGAATAGGTACATTTTAATATATAACACAATGGGGGGAGGGGGGGGTAAATGTTTCATAGTAGGTCCCGAACGCCATAAGTGCAAAGTATTGTTCAGAATTTTTGAATTTCGTGTTGGATTACGGTACTCACACATAAAGCGTGTTTTTTGTTGATAGTTTAATAATATTTCTATGCGTATTGTGTGGAATTGTGTTGACGTTTACTAAAGTTAAGTGCATTATATTTGATAAACCAGTATCTGAAAGTTGATTTGAGTACTTTTACATAAAGCCCCAATCACGCATATCCCTTGAATGAATGTCCCGCAAAATCCCGCGAATTTAGGGCACTTTGTCTAAAAAAATCTGTCCCTCTATGAAGTCTTTGGTGGTTACCCTGTTAACTGTTCCGCAATTAGCGTGTTTGTCTTTCGAATGGTCCCGCGAAATCCCGCGAATTTGATCAAAATTTGACCTATTTAGCGCAATCACGCAAATTCCTTAAATGTCCCGCAAAATCCCGTGAATTAGGTGGATGTCCCGCAAAATCCCGTGAATTTTTGGCACTGGGTCTAAAAAATCTGTCCCGCATGAAAATCTTTGGGGGTTGACAGTACTGCATGACAGCTTTCAAAATGCCATTCCGCCATTCTGAAACCTGTCACAAGTAAATAAGGTTAACTGATGTTGCATTCTGGGAGTCAATCCACCTTGGATCACAAACATGGCGATCCATGAAAACATTTGTTCGATTTGGTAGGAATTTATTCATCATTTGCAGGTATGAAGCTTTGGATTCATTTATTATGCTACTTAAAGTGAACGGGAATTGTTTTTCTACCGCTTGGGAGAGTTTGAGACATAAAACTTAGAATTTAGCTCATTGTGACAACTTTTGATGGTTGAGGTTTATTAATGTCTCCCACTGTTATAGTGGTGATATGATTGGCCAGCCCGACTGATGGATAATTCAGAAATAGTTTATGCAAGTTGTCATGGTTGACATTTTATCAGTCAAATCTGTGGTAAGAGATCATTGGAACTTTAGATAAGAGCGTGTTGTAAGAATTGACTGCTATGTCTGGATTAGGGCAAAGGTGTGTAACGTCGGCATGTAGGACAATGTCGACATGAGAAATGTGCTAACTTAGACACTTACTTGTGAGAAACTAGAATATCCATTTTCCGCCATGTTTTATTTTAAGGTAACTTATAACTTCATCATAAAATCCAAGATGGCCGAAACCAGGAAGCACATGGCATTTGAGAATAATCTGACCATCAAAATTAACTGTCTTTTGGTTGGATTTTCTCTCAATTTTTTAGTTCCACTTATCATTTATATAACCAGGCTCACTGTGGTAATGCAAATAGAAACAGTAAACATTTTGGAATGGGAATTTGAGTCCTCTGAAAATGTGACAGAAAAATTGACAAAAAGAGTAGCACGGCAAAGGTCCCTGATCATTTTTTTTTCTAATTTCTCTGAAACATCCCTTTAATATGCCCAAAATGGAAGGAGCTTAAGAATTTTGAAATCTCTCATACAAATTAAAAAAAATAGAAAAAAACAATTTGAGAAGTGTACTTTTTCCCTTATTTTGATCACAATTTTTTTATCGGGTAATTTTTCAAATTTCCGTTGCTCCTTCGTTTTTGATATATGTTTGAAGTATATTTTCTGAAATGTTCAGATATTTTGAATCAGCGGTTTTTCACGGGCTACTCCTAGAAAAAAATCTTCTCAAATTCTTTAAACGGCACTTTTTTTCTCAAACTAAAGTTTTTTGTTGTTCTTTGATGTCTTTGTAATGATTACAGTGCACAAGCATATGTGAAATAATAAAAACGACTTCTCAGGAAGAGTGTTTGAATATTTCAAGATTGTGAAATTTTCAATTTTTTCTGAAAATCGATGTGTGGATGTTATACTCCTTCGCCCTATAGATAAGCTTATTGCAACTGCCACAATCAAAAAAGAAAACGAAAGGGAAACCAAAAGAGAGAGTGCTTGTAAAATGGTAGACATACACGCAGTACTGTCAACCCCTAAAGATTTTCTCGCGGGACAGATTTTTTAGACCCAGTGCCCAAAATTCGCGGGATTTTGCGGGACATCTACTAAATTCGCGGGATTTTGCGGGACATTTAAGGGATTTGCGTGATTGCGCTAATAGGAGATTTTTTTTATCAAATTCGCGGGATTTCGCGGGACCATTCGAGGGACAAACACCCTAATTCCGGGACAGTTAACAGGTGTACCACCAAAAACCTTATAGAGGGACAGATTTTTCAGACAAAGTGCCCTAAATTTGCGGGATTTCGCGGGACATCCACCTAAATTTGCAGGATGTCCCGGGACATTCAAGGGATTTGCGTGATTGGGACTAATGTAAAAGCGTGTAGAAGTACTTAAATCAAACTTTCAGATACTGATTAATCAAATATAATGCACCGTTACATTGTAACTTAAATAAACGTCAACACAATTTCACAAAATACGCATAGGAATATTATTAAACTTTATTGTAATTTATCAAAAACAAAAACCATGCTTCAGGTGTGATTACCGTAATCTAACACGAAATTCAAAAATTCGGAACAATACTTTGCACTTCTGGCGTCGTGACCAACTATGAAACGCTTACCCCCATAATGTTATATATTAAAATGTACCAATTGAAAGCCCATGATATAGGGGTTCGATTAATCTACATCAAATTATAGGGAATGAGGTTAATTTTCTAGATAGGGTTTGTATAAAAAACCGGGTACCGGGTAGTAAATCCTCCATGCTGGGTTCAAACTTGGTACCCGGTACCCGGTCAAAATAAACGGGTACCCAAAAAACGAAAAATACGAATATATAACATACTACCCGTGTGGCCTTCATCTCAGAACTGAGCAAATGTTAGCAAACGCGAGTTACAATAAATGTACGCTGATATCTAGAAAGGGTTTGTATAAAAAACCGGGTACCGGGTAGTAAATCCTCCATGCTGGGTTCAAACTTGGTACCCGGTACCCGGTCAAAAAAAACGGGTACCCAAAAAACGAAAAATACGAATATATAACATAATTAGATTATGAGAAAACGTGTAAGATTTGTTTTGAATTTGCAAAAATGTATGTAACATGATTCAAAATTGAGCTAGAAGCTTCAAATAAAAAGCATATTTTAAGGCCAACGTTGGAACTATTTGTGACCTACATCCCTATTTTCGTAATTAAAATGAAAGTTGAACCCTTCCCCTTTATTTTGATACCAAACAACAGCATGCTAGGTACTTAAAATTATGTAAACTTTACTCCTCAAAAGTGCAAAAACTTAGTTTCTTATATAAGATAAGATAATCAAAATATAGGGGATTGCAACAATTTCGGAAATTCGCGGAGGTCAAAGCCACATTTTGCGGGACTTCGCGGGACAATGCGGGACACTCGAATTAGCCTAATTTTGATCAAATTTGCGGGATAATCCCGCAATTCGCGGGACACTTGACAGCTCTGTACACGTGAAATAAAAATATATGATCATTTTACCACGAACTAAACTTTCATTGAAGATGACTCCCTAACTCAATGGACTTTTACTTACCTCTTTGAAAGCAAACGGCAATCCGAGGACCCCCGCTCCGATAAATGAGATGAAAATGTTTGCCATGATCCTGATGATACTCGTCGACCCGGATGGGTCCCCAACACTAACTGCACCCGCCATCTCAGTTTAAGCTTCGCTTATAGCATAATTTAGGAGATATCAATCAAAATTTGGAAAAAAATAAAAACTTTTCAAACCGGAAGCACTGCCATGTCATCTTATGCGCATGCGCACTTCAGCGAGATCTGATACGAGAATGCATTTTCGTCTGGTTCAAGGTCCGGGTTTGTCTCTTTTATCGCAAATCACTGCAATAAGAGGGTGTGTCAGCGTTAAATCGATACATAAACATCCTTTCAGATATCAGATTCATCACGCTATGAGTTCAGAAGCCAAGCCGAAGATCTTCATCACGCGTAGAGTTCCCCAAAAGGGAGTTGACCTTCTCAAAGAAAAATTTGACATTTTCCAATGGAACAGAGACGATCCAATTCCAAGGGAAGAATTGCTCAAACAGGTTGCTGGGAAAGATGCACTCTTTTGCCTACTGACGGAGAAGATCGACGATGAATTACTGGAGATAGCTGGTATGTATATATGACCTGACATCTTCACAAACAGTAAATGTAAAGTTTGTTTACAAAAAGGGGGTGTGGCACTTTTTGAAAACATCATCATATTTATGTGTTTTTAACTATCTAACTGAGCAAAATTTTGTGTGGATCCTTGGACAATAAAGCTCTTTTTATTCAAAACTCGATGCTATCTTTAAGAAATACTTAGATACCACAATAAAACTTTTGATAGTGTATGACGAAGATGGCGACGAAATAACAGACGTCGCCCAGAAAGCAAACATCCTCAATGACCAATACAATTCTGTATTCACAGATGAGGATGCCACTCTACCGACAATGGTACCTAGTCAAATTCCTGAAATGCCAAATATCAAAATTTTGACAAAAGGAATTCACAAATTGCTAACTGGCCTAAATCCATCAAAAGCCACTGGACCCGATCTTATTCCGACTAGGGTCCTGAAGGAATGCAGTGACAGCATATCACCATTCCTTCAAATAATTTTTCAACAGTCTATCGATGAAGGCTTAGTGCCTATGGACTGGAAACATGCCAATGTTACTGCTATCTACAAAAAGGGACGAAGAGATGAGGCTGTGAATTACAGGCCTGTATCTCTGACGTCAGTTCCATGTAAAATAATGGAACATATTATATTCCATCATGTTATGGCCCACTTTGACCTCTATGAAATTCTAGTAAAATTCCAACATGGATTCAGGTCAAAGCACTCATGTGAAACACAACTTGTCAATACAATAGAGAATATAGCTCGGGCCCTCGACAACAATAAACAAACAGACATGTTGGTATTAGACTTTTCCAAAGCGTTTGACACGGTGGCTCACGAACGCCTCTTGCTCAAACTCGACTATTATGGAATTCGCAATAATAACTTGAACTGGTTCCGATCCTGGCTTGTGGGAAGATCACAACAGGTAGTGCTCGATGGTGAATCAAGTTCAAAAACTCCAGTAAAATCAGGAGTTCCTCAAGGAACAGTTCTTGGACCACTCTGTTTCCTTGTTTATATCAATGATATGGGCAATAACCTATCATCCTCAGCCAGTCTTAAGCTTTTTGCCGACGACAGCCTTTTATTCATGACAGTCGAAAGCAAGCAAGATGCATTAACACTACAGGAGAATCTTGATAAACTGGTCTCCTGGGCATCAACATGGCAAATGAAATTCCATCCATCAAAATGCTATGTGCTAAATATTCACAAAGGTAAATCCCCTATCATGCACAATTACACCATGCTAGAGGAAAACCTTAAGTCGGTAACACACATCCCATACCTAGGAATTGACATCACAAATAACTTACGCTGGACTACACATATTCAAACTATTGTATCCAAAGCCAATAAGGTGCTTGGATTTCTCAGGCGCAACCTCCATCAATGCCCTGAAAAAGTGAAGGCTCAGGCGTATAAGTCACTAGTCCGGCCTAATTTAGAGTATGCCAGCTCGGCATGGGATCCATACCGACAAAAAGATATTGATATGTTGGAACAGGTACAGAGAAGAGCAGCCAGGTTTGTAACCAAATGTCACTCAAGGGAACCAGGCTGCGTCACCAAAGCTCTTCAAGACCTACAGTGGGAGCCACTGAAGGAGCGTCGAGAGGCTGCTAGAGTTTTCCTTTTCTACAAAGGAAAGCAGAACCTAGCAGCCATCGACGTGCCTCCATACTTCCGCCAACAGATCAATACCAACACTAGGTTGTATCATCCTTCTAAGTTCATACAACCATCAACTAGAACGGATGCATACAAATTTAGCTATTTCCCTAGGACAATAGCTAAATGGAACACTCTACCTGGTGACATCTTAGACTGTGACAGTCTAAGTAGTTTTAAATCATCATACTATGCCTATGTCAATAACTGCAATTAAATAGGTGTGTTTTTAATATAGATCTATGTTTTAATGTAAAGGGTCCCCAGTGCACAGCAACAAGCCTGCACTACTGGTAAAGAGGGGTGATGTCAACGCGGTAGCCTGACAGTCTCCCCAGGTAAAATGAGTTGTAAACCATAGATCTATTTTTAAATGTTAAGGTTTTAAATTATATTCTATTCAAATTCTATCACTGTTAAATTATATATCTGCTTTATATGGGCTTGTTAGCCTTTTGCAGATTATTGACATAGACATAGAGTATGGGGGAGTCACGGTGTTGGAAATCGTATGACGCTTGATCAATACTTAAGCAACAACAGTTACTTTCATGTTCTACTTTATCTCACGGTACGGCATGGCAATGTGTAAAATTATTACTAACCAAACACCTGTATGCATAATGGGCCTTTTACTAAACAGCTTTTAAAATTGCTATCTAATACTGCAAGTGCAAGGTAGGTCATAGATCTACTTGTGACAGTAAACAATGACATATCTGTCCTAAGTACAAAAGTAGATCAATGTAATTGATAAACATATTTTAGAGGTCACCTTACTTGACATTGAAAACACACACCCCTTTGCATGGTAACCTACTTTTATATCTTTAATCCAGAGCTCTTCAGACCCCTCAGCTGAAATATATGATACATAACATGCATTTGTATTTTAGTATCAGAATGATTTATTTACTTATCTTACACTTTGAAGTGATTTCTAAAACATAGGGTACTGATTAGTTTGACACATAAAACAAGATGTACATGAACACAGATTAGAGGTCCTTTAAGCTCTCAATAAGGACCTTATGGTTGTTCTGTATGTCCAGAATTTAATGGGTTCCTAATTATACATGTACATGTAGTCTCATGTTATTTTCAGGTATAATCAATGCATTCCAATCTTTCAGTTTTGCACAAATAGTGCATAAATATTCCTGAATTATTAATTGAGCATTGATCAATGTTCTAGACATATAAAAAAGATAAAATTCTTTGACCTACATTTTTGTATTTTTAAAAAGTGGTTCACTAATTTTTCTTACTTTTCTTGCATTGTAAAAATGATTTACCCCAGAATTATGATCTAGCCATAGGTTAGTTATTCACTCTTGTACTCTGTGCAAAACTGAAAGATTGCTTGAGGGGGTGAGACAAATGATGCCCGATTTGGCTGAATTTTTTGTGTTGTCCCTATACTAATCATAGATCATATAAAATGAAAAGCAGCCTGATCAGAAAACAATTCCAAAAATGAAAAACCCTAAGATTGATCCTCATCTTTTGCATATTTGCAGGGCCTCAGCTGAAAGTGGTTGGAACAATGTCAGTGGGATACGATCATGTTGACATTGAAGCTTGCAAGAAAAGAAATATCCCTGTTGGTTTTACACCAAATGTCCTCACAGACTCCGTAGCAGAACTGACGGTTGCTCTTCTACTGGCAACATCTAGAAGACTCGTTGAAGGTAATTTATCAACATTTTCTCACAGCAATTGAATGAACTACTCTATACTGTTCTTCTACTTTATTTGGCAGCCGTTTTAATTTGATGGATCTGCCAAATTGTTAAAGTCAGCTAAATTAAGTCGTCACTGCCACCTGGTAATTTTCAGTTTTATACCATGTAAATAAGAACTATAAGTACATTGTAATATTCCTGTTCGCCAAATTAAGTAGCTGCCAAATATTCAAAACAGCAAATCTGCTAAAATAAATAGCGTACAATATTTTGTAGCCTATCAATCCGCCAATAGAAGTTCAAGTAGGGATAAAAAGAAGCAATTCATACATATAGATTAATCTATTTGTCCACAATATCTCAAATATCATTTGGTTTAAATATCATAGGCTGGTGATGTATTATTGGGATGAGGCGTGGTGTTTGCCAAAAAGTGTGTCACACTACTTATTACCATGCAGTGTTTACTTCTATAAATTGTCAAAGTTACAATGCTTTGGGAAAACTTATTTGTAAGGTGGGATTTGCTACTCTGGTAAATTGCTGATTTTCTCATTTCTCCTTTTATTTCATTAATTCATGGTATAGTGGTTGGTGTTCAGTGATCCATGTCTGTAACAAATGGCAGGTGGTGACATTTTGCATGTTAATGCTTTGTTTCTTTTACTTTACAGGTGTTGATGCTGTGAAAACTGGTAAATGGGGTACCTGGGGTCCAATGTGGCTACTAGGGAAAGACCTAAAGGGCAGCACAGTAGGAATATGTGGTTTTGGACGTATAGGGTATGCTGTAGCAGAGCGTTTAAAACCTTTCAAAATTGGCAAGCTTTTATACAGTGACCAGGTTGAACTTCCATATGCTAAAGATGTTGGTGCGGAGTTTGCTTCACAGGAACAGCTTTTGAAAGAATCAGATTTTGTTATTGCGTGTGTTGCGCTTACTCCTGAAACGAAGGGAATGTTCAACAAGGACTTATTCAAGACAATGAAAAACAATGCAGTTTTTGTAAACACGAGTCGTGGCGGTGTCGTAAATCACGATGACCTCTATGATGCCTTGAAGTCAGGGGAGATTTGGGGGGCAGGATTGGATGTTACAGTCCCAGAGCCCCTGCCTACAGACAGTCCACTGTTATCGCTGAATAACTGTGTCGTGTTACCTCACATTGCTAGCGCAACGGAGGACACACGAAGTGACATGTCAGAGCTAACAGCACGTAATATTTTAGCTGCTATGAATGGAGAATCAATGCCTGCTCAGGTGAAATAACATGTGACATTTACAAAATCCATATTAGGGCTTGTCATATCCCATAATGCACCTTGATTCATTGAGCAGACGGAATCTAAGTTAACACACTTGCGAGTCACACAAGCATTCTGTTTGCACAAAAACTATATTTTTATCAATATTTATGATTGAGACTGAGAATCAGTCCATATATATACATGAATATAAATATATACCTTTGTTTATTCACAAACTCAAAATGCAGTATGCAATGATGTTCCTGACAATATGAAATTTCTTTATTTTTATAAATTACATCTTGTGAAGATGAAATAAAAATTATGAACAGTATGTATACATGTATGTGCAGTCCTAAAGACAGAGTTAGATCAGGCAATCAGGGCACTCAGTAAAATATCTGTAATTTCCTCAGGATACATATCCAAAACCACCCATGGATCCAAAACCTCCCTAACATAATACTCCTATACCGTTTAAAAGTTGCTCAAGTAAGCATGTACTTGTGCATGTATCATTTAAAACTTGCTCAAATAAGTATGTTTTACTGCATATTTAAACAGGAAATCAGGGCACTCAGTAAAATATCTATATTATTTCCCCGGGACATAGACCACGCGGGATACACCATAATTTGAATCTATGCTATATGTTTACATTTCGATAATGCAAAAATAGACCCCTTAATATACCATCATTATAAGCTACAAGGTAGATTAATTCACAACGTTTTTTAATCTTCTACTATATAATTTATTATGCCTTGGTCACATTTGCTCCGATTTTCACTACGGCGCCCGGCCGATTGAGTATTTTGTTCAAAATTGAATACAATATTGAACAAAATACTCAATCGGCCGATGGATCGGTACAAATGTGACCCAGGCATTACTCAAAACATGAAGATGATTATCGGATACAAACACTTTTTAGAAATAGCCATAGCAACCAATAATTTGTCAAGGGAGGTAAACCATATAAAAAATATCCCCAGCTCACAAACCAGACCAACCTTGCTATAAATCAGCTCACTTTTAGGACTGAAATACTGATTTATATACCTTCAAAATGAATTCAATTGAACAAATAACGCATACTAACCAAGTATAGTCCATTTGTCATTTTCTTAACGTATGAATATTTAAAAACATGATGTTTTTCTGTGCAAATACTATCATTAGGGTTTATTGGAGTGATTTAGCTGGGTTGCCAAAAAATTAACGTTGGGGAAACTTTTTGTATCTATCACCATGGTAACATACCAGGTACATGGTGGTATCCCGACGCTAAGTCAATAGTCAAAGCCATGCACCCCTCCCTAATTAGCCGATATACTTTTTTCCCCAAACTAACTTTTTGTCCAACCCAGTTAAATCACTTCAGAAAACCCTTGTTATTATAAATTAACCATAAAACATCGTGTTTTTATCAATTCATAAAATCACTATAGTATGTATAGGGGTGACAAATGGACTAGTAGTTTATACTGTCACATTGGTCACGGTATGTCACACATTAATGGGTGCCTTCAAGTTGATAAACCTGCGCCAGGTCAACGATAACTCCCAGTTGAATGGTAGCAAAATGCCTATTGACTACATAAATAATATATTAAATAAACTTGATGCAGTTTTTACAAACTGAGAGCTATTGTACAGATCTTCGAACATCCCGACAATGAAAATCCAAGATAGTGTCGTCATAGTTACTGGGGGAGCACAGGGCATTGGGAAAGCAATAGCTTCATATTTGCTGAAGCACAACGCTAAAGTAAGTCTGCAAATAACATCACTGGTGATCTACTCGATTACGCTGATTACTGAAACGGTTCGTTTTGGTAACAAAATGTCGGAACATCGAAGGTACGATTTTTCTTTTTTCATTATTTCACACGTTGTAGGCAGAATTCCCACGACATTTTTTTTACAGAAACGTGTATCAGTATCATATGTTTAAGAAAATGTACATATTTGCGAACAAATAGTTCAGAAGACGACAGAATCGTCGATTTAATTCCTCACTTACTGTAAGTTACATAAACGGTTTTTCGAAAAACAGCTAAGATCTGCACTTTTAACCCAAACCGTTTATGTAACTTAAGTGAGGAATTAAATCGACGATTCTGTTGTCTTCTGAGCTATTTTTTCGCAAACGTACATTTTCTAAAACATATGATACTGATATACGTATCATATTTCGCGCAGAATTACAAATCAATGTTAACTTAAATGGATGAAGATAAAAACGGATACAATTTTTTGCCGATTTTTTGTTACAAAATTATATCATACAAATGGCAGAAAAAAGTAATTTATTGCCGTTTTTTTGTAACAAAATTATTACGTTGCATACATCTGTAGATTGCGTAAGTTATTGAGGAATTTAAGCTCTCAATGCATTATGGGCCGATTCATTCCACGAAGAAGTTATTTCAAGACGTTTGGCATCAATGCGGATCAAGAATGTAAAGTGAAGGAAACAACGCACTCGTGAAACAAATTATATAGAATGCACAGAGTCCTAGCTGGGCTTAAATTATTTTCATACGCTCCAAACGATTTTACTCATTAACAATTTCATCACACTGCAAACCTAAAATGAATAATTTTGCGATAAATATTTACAAAATTGCCGTACTTTTGCGGTCAGAGCCATATAAAACTGTTTTATATGTCTCTGTTGCGTAGACTTTTCCAAAATCCGGAAGTTCCATTTATTTTGAAAAAATCTGTGTTTTTTGCGGTAGATTTCTGTTGTCGTTTTGGTTATTAATTAATGGTAATGTAATCAAACCCAATACCACGGATAATGCCATATGTACAAGGTGTATATCTACTAAAAGGTGGCAGCTAGGGTTAATAAGAAAGTTTTGTTGGTCTACAGACATTAAAGGTCTTCTTATATTTCGACATTTCATTCCACAGGTCTGTATTGCTGATGTGGACGACGTGCAAGGAAAAGAAACAGTTAGAGAATTTGCTGAATCATATGGGGACTGTGTGATCTTTCAACAATGCGATATCACAAAGGATGATGACTTTAGAAGTAAGATATTTTTCATTATGCTAATACACGTATACAAGTAACTAACTTACTGCCCATTGAAATATGTATTAAAGGTGCTTTATATTTGCTTTTAAGGCTGGAAATATAAATTGACATCACAAGTTTTTCATTTCATCATTTACAATAGGTCGAATGTAGGTCGAATGACAAATCTGATAAAGTTTTTTGAAAAATAGTAATGAATCTGAAAATTGAATCTGATAAGTGAGCCATAAGGGTATATGTTTTTTCGAAGCATTTGTGATTTATCACTCATGACGATTTGAGTTTTGATGACGAATAAACAGAGGGTGGTCACAAAAAAATGTCCATTAAAGGTCTCATTTTGATTGATTGAAATGAACGATTTATTGAATTAAACTATTAAAGGAAGTTTACGTTTTGTGGTGGATAATTATTTGATGTTTATCACCTTCCTTCTAGCTTCACTAAAGATTACGAAAGATGCGTTCGGTGATGTTACAATTGTAGTGAACAACGCAGGGATTCTTGATGAGACAAACATTTCAGGCACTATCGCAATCAATCTCGTAAGTTATAGGATAAAAATATCAGAAAGTAATTACACCAGGGGACTTATTTTATTTTAAGAAGAATATTGTACTTTATGTATATATACTGGACATATTTCAGTCTAATTTACGAAATAAGTTCGAAATTGAAGGTATTGCTTTATTTGGAAATCAAAAGCTCTTTCAATAACATAAAGTAGCTAGTTTTGTATGGACTTTTGTATTTTAGAGCTTTGAAGAGCGTTAGATGCTGTCTTAATGTTAGATATTGAAATCAATATAAATAAAGAAGTAATTAATGCTCTCTCATTTCATTAATTGTAACATGCATTATTGCTATGACAATAGAACCGTACGTTATAATATAATGAATATCTGTTGGTGTGTCCCAAGGTTTTGTTTTAGAACCTTTGCTTTTCTTGATGTACGTAAATGTCAAGTATATAGCGTCAAACGGTTAAAAAGATGATTTCGTAAATGTCAAAAAACACTTTGTCTTTGCGATAATGTTTTAAATTAATGTATTTACTATAGACCTAACTATTAGATGTGACTGCTTTATTTTCATTAGCAAAAGCTAAACATGTCACTTCACTCTGCAATACGATGCAGTAAGTAAGGAATGCAAACATTTTGATACTTAACAGACGCAGTTTAAAATTCGAACTAATACAATTTATTTTTCTGTTAAATAAAGGAGGCCCAGATACGATGTACTATGATTGCTCTGGAGTTCATGGGTCGCAACAACGGAGGAAAAGGTGGTACTATTGTGTTCAATGCGTCTGATCTTAGTGAGTTAAATTTTGTGAGAGCCTTTCCTCTCTCGACTAATGAACAGATCTCGTACTGTAGCTGAAAACAGGCCACCCTTCATTTTGGAATAATTATTTCCGTTGACAACATCTTCACTGTTCCACAGCTAGATAACTCTTAACTGCAGTTTCCCAAATTCTTTCATTTTTGACAAACCTTCGATTTCAGCTCAACTAAGCTGAATCTTGATTCCAAAAGTTTCGCCATGCTAACTAATAAGACTATGATTGTAAAAATACACAAATAAATGCCCAAACACCCGCAATATTAGAGAATATGAAAGAAAACGGCTTCACTCAGAATCTGAGAATGACTCTAACTGAAGTTGATGATGATAACTTCAGTTAGAGTCATTGTACATGAGTGATGTTGTTTTCTTTAAAATTCACCCATATCACGGTTGTTAGAGCATTTATCTGTGGTTGTTTCCAATCGTAGCTTTATTAGTTTCAATGGCGATACTTTTGAATTCCAGATTCGGAGGTTTGACGAAAACGAAAGAATTTCGACAACCATCTTGAATGACACTGACTGCAGTTAGAGTCATCCAGCTGTGGAACAATGATCCTAGTAATTTTGATTTGCGTTCCAGGTATAAAACCTCTTGGTACTTTGCCAGTGTACGCTGCCGCGAAACATGGAGTTGTTGGATTTGTTCGTAGTATGGCCGTGAGTACACTAGACATTTGTGTTTCACCTGCATATATAACGTATGACAAAAGAGACTTATTACTCTCCTAAAGTGGACTCAAATGAGAAAAATATATAATTATAATTTAAACCACTCTCTGTTAAACATGATATTTGGGGGGGGTCAAAAATAATCTATTATCGGCCTGTGGAATTATGCAAAAATGAACAAGGTAACTTAACATACATTAATCCTCCAAGCTTAACCCTAAAAAGGTTAGACTATAGAAAATTACACAAATGGTAGTGGGAGGGGTAAATTTAACATAGTAAACCGATATTCCTTGTAAGCCTAATTCTATCTTGATATGGAAGCCGTGACCATCTTTATACTATCAATTTTAAGGGTTACCATCTTACTCTTAATTTTACATGGTACAAAAGAAGGTTTGTCGGAAGTATTATTTTTCATTCAAGTCTATAATTCAACTCTACAGATAGTATCTTCTTTTGTTATAAGCTGAAGAGCCATAAAAATACGTTTTGCACATAAAGTAAGGACATTCTGTGTAGACGTGATTTTGTACTACTTACCTATACTTTTATGGGCAAGGTTAATTTATAAAAGTTAAGAGTCTTTGACATCACTTCCTGTATGAACTATTAAAAAACAGGGCAGTCTACTGGAAAATGAGCACTGCATTTTTAATTAAATTATCAATTTTGACCATATCAAAACATGTTCTCGTGTTTTGCTAAATACATGGTATGGATAGTATAGTAATGGTTACAGCTATCATATCAAGAGATGAATGAGCTTGCAACAAATATCCCTTTAAATGGCATTCATATATGACTAAGATATCTGTTTTACAGGCTTTCTTTCATGTGTGTTTTCTATTTTTCAGTTGAGCCCCCGAAATAAATGCTTGCAACAAATATTGTTTTAAATGACATTCAGATCTGACTAAGATATCGGTTATACAGCATTTCTTTCATGTGTGTTTTCTATTTTTCAGTTGAGCCCCCAAATAAATGATTGGGGTGTACGTTTCAACGCTGTGTGTCCGACGATGGTAGAGACACAAATGACAAGTGATGATAACTTACGCAGAGGTGTGACAGATCCAATCGCTAAGGACCAGTTGATGAAATATAAGGCTCAACATCTGCAGGCTTCTACTATTCTACAGTAAGACACTCTACTATACATAACACCTAGAAATGCATAAGATACTCTGTTTGTCTAATTGTATTGTTAAGTATATTTTTGAAAGTACCTTATTAACATCTAATAGTCATCCTATAAACCATTAATAAGGAACAGACAAATAAAAACAAATACATAATCATTACTAATAAGCCAAATAGGTTGCTCATGAACACTAAATGCAGCAAGCTATAGTAGAGTGTAAGATTCTAGAAAGTCTTGTTTCTTGTCACATTCGGGATAGGGGGGGGGGGGGGGCTGCTGTGAAAACAAGGCATTAACATGACAAAATGTCACCACCTAGTTGCTCACAATATTATGAGTTCAAACTCTAGTCAGATTTGAATTTCTGAAAACTTGTAAAGTCAAATTTGAACTTCTGAAAAGATGTAGATGATTTTGAAAAAAAAATTTGGTCAATTTGAAGCAAGTTGAAAACAGACCTTTTTGACCTTTTTTGACCTTAAGAAGGTCATTAAAGGTCAAATGTCAAATCTAAAGTCAGATTTGAATTTCTGACAACATGTAGATGATTTTGAAAAAAAAATTAGTCAATTTGAAGCAAGTTGAAAAAAGACCTTTTTGACCTTTTTTGACCTTGAGAAGGTCATTGAAGGTCAAATGTCAAATCTAAAGTCATATTTGAATTTCTGAGAACATGTAGATGATTTTGAAAATTTTTTTAGTCAATTTGAAGCAAGATGAAAAAATACCTTTTTGACCTTTTTTGACCTTGAGAAGGTCATTGAAGGTCAAATGTCAAATCTAAAGTCAGATTTGAATTTCTGAGAACATGTAGATGATTTTGAAAAAAAAATTTAGTCAATTTGAAGCAAGTTGAAAAAAGACCTTTTTGACCTTTTTTGACATTGAGAAGGTCATTGAAGGTCAAATGTCAAATCTTAAGTCAAATCTAAAGTCAGATTTGAATTTCTGAGAACACGTAGATGATTTTGAAAATTTTTTTTAGTCAATTTGAAGTAAGTTGAAAACAGACCTTTTTGACCTTTTTTGACCTTGAGAAGGTCATTGAAGGTCAAATGTCAAATCTTAAGTCAAATCTTAAGTCAGATTTGAATTTCTGAGAACACGTAGATGATTTTGAAAAAAAAAATTAGTCAATTTGAAGCAAGTTGAAAACAGACCTTTTTGACCTTTTTTGACCTTGAGAAGGTCATTGAAGGTCAAATGTCAAATCTAAAGTCAGATTTGAATTTCTGAGAACATGTAGATGATTTAAAAAAAAAATTTAGTCAATTTGAAGCAAGTTAAAAAAAGACCTTTTTGACCTTTTTTGACTTTGAGAAGGTCATTGAAGGTCAAATGTCAAATCTTAAGTCAAATCTTAAGTCAGATTTGAATTTCTGAGAACACGTAGATGATTTTGAAAAAAAAATTTAGTCAATTTGAAGCAAGTTGAAAACAGACCTTTTTTACCTTTTTTGACCTTAAGAAGGTCATTGAAGGTCAAATGTCAAATCTAAGGTCAGATTTGAAGGTCAAATGTCAAATCTAAAGTCAGATTTGAATTTCTGAGAACATGTAGATGATTTTGAAAAAAAATTTAGTCAATGTGAAGCAAGTTGAAAAAAAAGACCTTTTTGACCTTGAGAAGGTCATTGAAGGTCAAATGTCAAATCTTAAGTCAGATTTGAACTTCTGAGAACATGTAGATGATTTAGAAAAAAATTGAAGTCAGTCTAAACAGTATTTGTTAAGTTATAGGAAGTTGTAAGAAATTGTTACAGACGCCGGACGCCAACCGCCGGACGCCAACCACCAACCGCCGGACGCCGTCGCAAAAAAACGGAGACCATAACAATATGTCACCACTTTTGGTGGTGACATAAAAATGCAATTTCAAAATACTAATGTTATGAAGAAATACAACATTATTCTTTTTTATTTTCCAGGCCATCTGATGTAGTTGAAGCAGTGGTGAAATTGGTAGAAGACGACACGCTGAATGGAGCATCTCTTCTTGTTCTTAAGAACAAAACATTCTTTGTTGATCCACCAGTTTTAGACTTGTCTTGAATTATAGTTTCAGGGAACTGATGTTTTGGTGTTCAACATTTCCTTCAAATATTTGTCAAATGCAAATCTCAGATTCAGGAAAGAATACTTGAAACTTATCCTTAAGAGCATTTGTGATGCTGACTAATGTATTCATGTTCATGTTACCATGGTCTGATGGTTATCATGTGGTTTTGTTATAATAAAGTATTTACATAGAATAATCACTCTCCTTTTGTCCAATTGTTTGTCAAGTTGCAACTTTGTTTTTAGATTCAGGACAGAAAACATTAACTTTGTCTTTTAATAAAGTCACTGTGATGGGCATCACTTCAAATTCCTCATTGTCTATGTGAAACACTGGCTTGTAATCATCAACAGCGTTCTGAAAATAAAAAAATTGAACATTTATACACGTTTCTACAGTGAGCCTTCTGAATAGAAATAATTGCACAAGTAAAGTGACAAAGGGAAATAACCGACAATTGTTACAGCAAGAGAACAGCAAGTAATAAAGAAAACAAACCCCAACTATCCCAAACCATAATCTAACAATGAAGAGGAACAACGTCTAATACAGCTTCACCCCTCAAAAAAATGCAAATAAAGTTTTAATTGGTAAAAGTAATAATTTTGAAAACCTGTGTCAAGGGTTACCGGAGCCTATTCCCGTTAACAACAAGCTTACCTCTTTTTCATCTCCATCTTTGTCATTTACATCAGGATCTTTGGCATCTGTTGTAGTATTGGTGTGTGCATCTGCGGGAATCAACTGAAATTGGCCAACTTTAAGCTTATCTTTACTCGTCCTTATTTGATCACATCTCTCTTTACCAATCCTGTCCCATCTGAAAAAAGGCAGGGATACAATTTGTCAATTGTTACAGACATCTTCACAAATCAAGTAAGAAAAAGTAGTGAACCAAAACAATTTTCCTTATAAGCATAATGTTATAAGGTATGATCGAATAAAATCTGAACACAGATTGTAAACCTCATAAAGCAGTATTATTTCAAACTATGTTATATATTCACCCATATTTTACAAACTCTGTCCTTGAGAGATCACTGGGTCCAATACTAACAGTTATACATCTATCCTCCTAAAAACAAGATAACAGATATTAAAATGTGATTAGATTTCTCACTATTTTCACAAAGTTTGGATACACTCTTTTGAAAACAATTGGATACATTTCACTGTAAAAGATAAAAATATTGACTTAAAATCGTGTGCATTAAAACATACCTTTCCAAGACTAATAAATCACACTGTATGGCTGTAAGGTTTAATATAATTGAAAAATATTTTGAAAATCAGCATGCCTTGAATCCAGGCCCATAGCCAGCTCATGCCAAAAAATTGAAATAAAAAAATTCCTGGGGTTTGTTTTTCAACTTTGGCCCAAAAATGGCTAGAATCTCTTAAAAAGTGCTAAGAATGGTAAAAAACTGCATATTTTTGAAAGAAGTTTTGGCCAGGAAGGTACTTCGGGGCTGTGATCTCTACATTGAAACTGTCTGATTGACAAGTGACATCATAACCAATAAGTGGCATGATTAACTGGCATTGTCTAATACTGTACCTCAGATTCTTGGTTTCTATAGTTACTGGACAACACACCAAAATCGACAGTTTTCACTTCTTGCTGATGTTTCACCCCACATTTTTCATTTACAATACTTGAGTAGTCTTTAGCTGGTGCTGGAATGATACAGAAATTTCTCTATGACTTTGGAATAAATTTTTATTCAGATTTCAAAATAGGGTTAGGTAGCACTCACTTATTTTACTGCAAATCAAACCAATACATTTCATTCAGGGATCAGATTTCATCCTATACAGGCTGACTATACAAAAACAAGTGGTGTGGGTAAATAGTGCACATGGTGCGCATATTAACAGTCATTTTTGAATTTGATATTGATATAAACTACATGTAGGGCATGTTTGGTACTCCATACTCACACACACATGTATGTACATGATCCATAATAAAAAGGATATTATGACTTGTATATCAGTGTGTACTTCATTCTATAGCAATGCACCAATCAATAATACTCTCTCAAAAGTAAATTATTTGAAATTGCAGCTGTTACACAGCGTAAACAGCATTCATTTTATATTGGTTATCAATATGAATTATCATAGAAATTGTATTTGCACTTTGAGAGTTGAAAGGTTCTGTGTGATTTATGGGAAATTGAAAACATTATACAAAAATGTGCTACCTCTAAACAAGCGGTGCAGACATCCGTAAAGTGACAAATCCACACAGCTTGTTAAGAGGTAGCACAATAGCACATGTCAGATAAATGTTTTCAATTTTTTAAAATCCACACAGAAAGTTAACTACTTTCAATGTACAAAAAAAAAACATTTCAATGGGTCACCTTGATCACCAATAACAAATTAAGGCTGTAAGTGGTGTATATAAGTGACAATTTCAAATTTATTGCAATGGAGAAAGGATGAATGCTTAGTGCGTCATTAAAGAATGAAAAACACAACAGTACACAAAATGTCCTTTTTATTAGGTATCCTCTACAAATGCGTAAAAATAATTGAGAACCCAACATGTAGTTTATGAAATATCACAATTTAAAATTCAAAAATCACTGTTTATACATGTATCTGCACCTTGTGCACATTATATCCGAACCGCTTGTTTTTGTATAGCACAGTATGTATAGGGTGGATTGTGCTTGCATAGTTTTTTAAACATAGACAAATTTACCTTTTGGTTGTGCAGGGGGTACAAACATGTGCCACCATTTCCAGACAACTTTAGGGGGTGGCGTAAAGCACGTGGAACAGCCATCGCAGGGATATTGGTACTCTAGTTTGGCATTCAATGTGGACCAGTCATGAAATGTCTGCATTATGTGTGACCAGCGGTGTTTCAAAGGTCCAAAGTACCAGTACCTAAAAATAAGAATTTTGAGAGTTATTTCAGGTGAATGCCTTATTCGCCTATGAGTCAAGAAGCTAGGGGGACATAGGATCATTGGGGTATCCCAAAAAGAGAACCTCTCAGTGCATCTAAGGACCCTATCTTCATGTGAAAGGGAACTTCTCAGTGCATCTAAGGACATCAAAGGAGGTGACACTGAACATATATTTAACTTTTAATGGCCTAATGCATGATTGTGATGCTACTGCAGTTAAGCTAATGATCCAAACATCGATCTTGATCAATCATCCATCATGATCATGCCAATACTTCACCAATGATGTAATAAAAAACAACAGATTAAGTTGAAGGTCATGTACACAGAATCATCATTATGGCATGTGAATAGAGTAACAAACAAAATAGTATTAATAAATGACAACTATATTCATTTCAAAAACATTTACTGAATACCTTTTTCATAAAATATAAAAAGGCATTCATAACTATAGGTGAAGCATAACTTAACTAGACTTTGGAAATTGAACGAAGTTCAATTTCAGACTCCAGATTTAAACCTTTTTTAGCTGAGTCATCCAGAATAAGCTGAGTCATCCAGAAAAAGATGGATGGATAAAATAGGAAGGTAGGATAGGATAGAATAGGAAGGAACGATAGGATAGAATAAGAAAGAAGGATAGGAAGGAACGATAGGAAGAAAGGATATGATAGGAGAGGATAGGAAGGATAGGAAGGAAAATATACGAAGGAAGGATAGATAGGAAGGATAGGATAGGATCAGAAAGGAAAGATGGATGAATTATTCAATATTTTCTTCTCTACTCTTGACTTTCTATCAGAATACCATCAGATCGATTTTCCGAAATTTCAAAACGCCATAACTTCCAAACCGGAAGTCAGATCGAAATTTGATTTAAAGATTCGGATTCCTGACAACATTCTACCCCTAATTCATAACTCATACGTTAAATTTGACGAATTTTTATTTTGACCTACTTTTCGGACACACCATAACTTCCGAACCGGAAGTCGGATCGAAATTTGGTTTGCAGATTCGGATTCCTGAGAAAATTCTACACTTAATTAATAACTCAAACGTCAAAATTGGAGAACTTTTTATTTTGACCTACTTTTCAGACACCATATCTCAAAAGTGGATCAAAATACTTTCTGACGGCAAAAGGCTAACACTATTAGCACACTCTTGGCTACATGTATACACAATTTCGAAGAATATTATTAAAGTGTAGTGTCAGAATCGCAAAAATAAGGAAAACCTTTGAATTTGACCTAGATTTTGACCTAGGCATGTTGGTGTCCAAATTTTGAAGCTAGATGGCTTTTTAGGTCCCCTTCTTTTAAAAGCTTTCAATAAATTGAGCTGAACTCCGTCTATATTTCGTATTCTTCACTTCAAAAAAATATTTTTTCCCATTGACTTAACATGGGCACCAAATTTAGCGATTTTTGAGCTTTTAAAACGACATAACTTCCGAACCGGAAGTCGGATCGAAATGTTGTTTGCAGATTCAGATTTCTGACAAAATTTTACCCCTAATTCATAACTCATACCCTGAATTTGGAGAACTTTTGTTTTGACCTACTTTCTGGACACCATATTTCAAAATCGGTAAGAGTAATTAAAAAAAAACAGGGACACTTATGAAAGGGCTTTTTCTAAGCTACATGATGAAGAAAAGACGAAGACGTTTCGATAAATAACGACGAAGATAATTGATAGAATGTTGAAAATGTAAGATTTGACCTAGTTCTTGACCTTTGACCTAGATAAAAAATTGACCCAATTTCCGAGAAACTAGATACTGGACCTAAATTGACCATATACAGGACTTGACTCAATGTCTTCTAGTTAAGGAAAAAACATGGGAAGAAGAATAACTAGATTTTGGAAATTGAACGAGTTCAATTTCAGACTCCAGATCTAGACTTTTTTTAGCCAAGTCATCCAGAATAAGCCAAGTCATCCAAAATAAGCTAAGTCATCCAGCAAAAGATGGATGGATGGATGGATGAAAAAGGAAGGAAGGAAGGATAGGATAGAATAGGAAGGAACGATAGGATAGAATAGGAAGAAGATATAAGAATAGAAAGGATAGGAAGGAGAGGATACGAAGCAAGGGTAGATAGGAAGGATAGGATAGGATCAGAAAGGAAGGATGGATGCATTTTTCAATTTTTTCTTCTCTACTCTTGACTTTCTATCAGGATACCATCAGATCGATTTTTCTTGAAATTTCAAAACGCCATAACTTCCGAACCGGTAGTCGGATCGAAATTTGATTTGCAGATTCGGATTCCTGACAAAATTCTACCCCTAATTTATAACTCATACGTTAAATTTGGCGAATTTTTATTTTGACCTACTTTTCGGACACGCCATAACTTCGGAACCGGAAGTCGAATCAAAATTTAGTTTGCAGATTCAGATTTCTGAGAAAATTCTATTGTTAATTCATAACTCAAACGTTAAATTTGGAGAACTTTTTATTTTGACCTACTTTTCGGACACCGTATCTCAAAAGTGGGTCAAAATACTTTCTGACGGCAAAAGGCTAACACTATTAGCACACTCTTGGCTTTTTATGTACACAATTTCGAAGAATATAATTAAAGTGTAGTGTCAGAATCGCAAAAATAAGGATAAACTATGAATTTGACCTAGATTTTGACCTAGGGATTTTGGTGTCCAAATTTTGAAGTTAGATAGCCTTCGAGGTCCCCTTCTTTCATAAGCTTTCATTATTTTAAGCTGTACTTAGTCTATATCTCGTATTTTACACTTCAAAAAAATCTTTTTTCCCATTGACATAACATGGGGCACCAAATTTAGTGATTTTTGAGCTTTCAAAATGTAATCACTTCCGAACCGGAAGTCGGATCGAAATTTGGTTTGCAGATTCGGATTCCTGAGAAAATTCTATACTTAATTCATAACTCAAATATTAAATTTGGAAAAAAAAAATATTTTGACCTACTTTTCGGACACCATATCTCAAAAGTGGGGCAAAATACTTTCTGACGGCAAAAGGCTAACACTATGAGCACACTCTTGGCTACATGCATACAAAATTTCGAAGAATATAATTAATCTGTAGTGTCAGAATAGCAAAAATAAGGAAAACTTTGAATTTGACCTAGATTTTGACCTAGGCATTTTGGTGTCCAAATTTTGAAGCTAGATAGCTTTTGAAGTCCCATTCTTTTATGGGCTTCCATTATATTTAGCTGAACTCAATCTATATTTCGTATTTTTCACTTCAAAAAAATCTTTTTTCCCATTGACTTAACATAGGCACCAAATTTAGCGATTTTTGAGCTTTCAAAACGCCATAACTTCCGAACCGGAAGTCTGATCCGAATTTGGTTTTCAGATTCGCAATCCTGAGAAAATTTCCTATAAGACTAATATCCTGGACATTTTATTCGGAGAACTTTTTTTTGGACCTCGTTTTTGGACACTGATATCTCGAAATCGGTTTGAGATATCAAAAAACTAAATCGAACCTAGGTTTTCTACTTTTTTAAAAGGAACACAATGAAAAAAACCCGGATCGAAAATATTAAAGGACGACCGAGAAAATCGAAAAAAGTGACAAAGTACTGGATTTGACCTAGTTCTTGACCTTTGACCTAGATAAAAATTTGACCCAATTTCCGAGGAACTAGATTCTGGACCTAAATTGACCAAATGACTGACTTTACTGAACATTTTATGGTTATTGAGAAAACTGGTTTAGAATAATAACTAGATTTTGGAAATTGAACGAAGTTCAATTTCAGACTCCAGATCTAGACTTTTTTTAGCCGAGTCATCCAGAATAAGCCGAGTCATCCAGAATAAGCTGAGTCATCTAGAAAGAGATGGATAAATAAAATAGGAAGGTAGGATAGAATAGGAAAGAACGATAGGATAGAATAAGAAAGAAGGATAGGATAGAATAGAATAGGAAGAAAGGATAGGATAGGATAGGATAGGAAGGATAGGAAGGAAAAGATATGAAGGAAGGATAGATAGGAAGGATAGGGTAGGATGAGATAGGAGGATGGATGAATTTTTCAATATTTTCTTCTCTACTCTTGACTTTCTATCAGGATACCATCAGATCGATTTTTCTCGAAATTTCAAAACGCTATCACTTCCGAACCGGAAGTCGGATCGAAATTTGGTTTGCAGATTCGGATTCCTGACAAAATTCTACCCCTAATTCATAACTCATACGTTAAATTTGGAGATTTTTTATTTTGACCTACTTTTCGGACACGCCATAACTTCCGAACCGGAAATCGGATCGAAATTTAGTTTGCAGATTCGGATTCCTGACAAAATTCTACCCTTAATTCATAACTCATATATTCAATTTGGAGAACTTTTTATTTTGACCTACTTTTCGGACACCATATCTCAAAAGTGGGTCAAAATACTTTCTGACGGCAAAAGGCTAACACTATTAGCATATTCTTAGCTACATGTATACACAATTTCGAAGAATATAATTAAAGTGTAGTGTCAGAATCGAAAAAATAAGGAAAACCTATGAATTTGACCTAGATTTTGACCTAGGCATTTCGGTGTCCAAATTGTGAAGCTAGATGGCTTTTGAGGTCCCCTTCTTTTAAAGGCTTTGATTATATGAAGCTGAACTCAGTCTATATTCCGTATTTTTCACTTCAAAAAAATATTTTTTCCCATTGACTTAACATGGGCACCAAATTTAGCGATTTTTGAGTTTTCAAAACGCCATAACTTCCGAACTGGAAGTCAGATCCAAATTTCGTTTTCAGATCCGGAATCCTGAGAAAATTTCCTATAAGACTAATATCCTGGACATTTGATTCGGAGAACTTTTTTTTGGACCTCGTTTTCGGACACTGATATCTCGAAATCGGTTTGAGATATCAAAAAACTAAATCGACCCTAGGTTTCCTACTTTTTTATAAGGAACACAATGAAAAAAAACCGGATCGAAAATATTGAAGGACGACCGAGAAA